TGTGTGTATGTATTTCCTGCTCGTTCATAAAGATAGATGGAAGGAAGGTATTTTAAAATTGGTCTTGGCGGCCCGAATATACTTTTCTGCAGTATGTCGTCTTTAATTATTAACGACCGTAGTGGTGGTTCTCCCGAGCCTAAATAAAGTAAGCGGGCTTTATATAAATTTTTTTGAGATCTAGATATTTATTATCTCCGTATCGAGATTATATCAATTGTACAAAATTGTTCACATGTATTTAATACAACTATTTTACGATACTATCGTGTACATATATTCTTAAACTAAATAATAAAAAATCATACGGATACATTTTATCGTTTTTTCCTTTAATTAGAAATTTGGATTTTGGGATACTTGGATCCTGCAAGACATACAAATTGAGGAGTGCAACAAAGAAAGTGTAGAGAATAAATTGCACATAATTAGTCGGTGACGAAGATTTTGTTAAGAGTCGTCTGCATATAATTTGAGCATTTAATGAGAAAAGTCAGTTTGAGCAAGCATTATAAAGTTTTTATGTAACAATGGTATAATGTCAATGTATGCAATATGGAAGAAACTACGATTGTGCTGACGAAGAACATTGAAAGTTCAACGTTGGTATGGCACTACATTAGTTAAACTATGTCATCTTGATGCTAATTAGCCGACGCAATTATGGAATACGATATATTTGAGGTACATACTGGCAAGGAACATTGATGGTTCCTTCCTGCATGTTCCTTTTCTTTCTGTAGTTAATAATCTACACGGCCAACGTGACAATAGCAGGCGCCAGAACAAGAAGTGTTAAACATGAAAAAGCTTGTTGGAGAAGCATTTAGTTTCAAATGGAACAAGAACACATTATGCTTGAGAACAAGACTCACGTAGAACATTGGTTCTGCGCTACTATCTAGGACATTGCAAAGAGATCAGTGCTTAACCTCTTCATTTCTCTCAAATCTTCAAGGTATAGCAAGGTATGGTGCTCGTTTATATTGTGCAAAGATTTAGAGATATCGATGTAGCGTAGTTATCTCCTCTTCTTGAGACATCATGATTTCTCGGCAGTGAGGTTTGACTGTTCAGGAGGCGTTACAGTTTCCACAGACTGAATCAGTAAAAAAAGATTGTTAGTTTATTGTGAGAGAAGATTCAGGGTATGAATAAAGATTCAGATTTTAAACTGGAGTCCTCATAATTTTAGGGATGAATAATATCGATAGAGATTTAGTTATTACGACATTTTAATTATAGGGACTCGGTTCTACTGAGGGTTTTTATTTCTATATTCTTTAATTAACCTTACGGACATAAAAGATCTTTTTTTTTTTAAAAACAAATTGGCATTTCTTGCTTGCAGTAGCAAAGTTTTATGTCCGAAATATTAAATTAAAGGGTAAAGGATGAAAAGAGAATCTTAAAACTTAGACAACTGACATTGCATGCTCAACGTTTAAATTTTGTTAGAAATGAATTCCAATAGCGTGTACATAAGTTTTCGTGCAATGTGGTTTGGTTTTAACCTTAACATTGGCATTTAGTTCTTGCTTGCAGTAGCAAAGTTTTATGTCAGAAATATTAAATTAAAGGGTAAAGGGTGAATAGAAAATCTTTAAACTTAGACAACTGACATTGCATGCTCAACGTTTAAATTTTGTTAGAAATGAATTCCAATAGTGTGTACATTAGTTTTCGTGCAATAGGGTTTCAACCTTAACAATCCAAAATGATCCGTGTTCACGCTCCTGCTCTCTGTATATAGAAGGTTAAAAATTCATTGGTCATGAAGGAAATCTGCCAGTCTTCTCAAGGACTTATGGAAATATATTTTTTTACCGTTGTTATGTGCTGAGTGATGAAGCTGTTGGATCCGCTAGGTTCTCTGAGGTTCATCGCTCATTCGTCCTCCAGGTTTAACTAGGTAAAGAGAGAACCATGACGAAAGGAAAGAGATTCGAGTCTTTCGGGGTTTTAATTAAGCATGTTGATAGAGTTCTAATTCTGGAGTTTCGAGTATCATTGGAAATCGAGGCTTGAGTTAAAACATTGAACTATTAAGTAAGAACTTCGATTTTAGAATACTTTAATATCTTGGATGTTTTAAATCTGAAGTATCAATTTGTAGATTAAAAGATGAGAAAATCTTTAAACTTAGACAACTGCCATAGCATACTTTAAATTGAAATTTTAATTGAATAATTTTAAATAGCATGTACATTAGTTCTGGTTCAAAAGGGTTTCGACCTTTGGAATCCAAAATGATCCTTGTGCACGTCCCTGCTCTCTGTATAAAAAGGATTAGAAAATTCATTTATAATGAAGGATATCTGCCAGTCTTCCAGGGGACTTATGGAAATATATTTTTTACCGTTATTTTCCGCTGGGAGGTGAAGCTATGGGATCCACCAGATCCTCTGAGTTTCGCTGCTCATTTATCCTCCAGGTATCAGTTTAACTAGGTATAGAAAACAATTATGAATGAGGAAGAGAAAGTTCATATATTTCCCTTTGATACTAAGGCTCTTGGGATTTAAAATATAATATGTTGATAAAGTTTTAATTCCAGAATTTCGAGAATCATTGGAGTTCCAGACTTGGGATTTAGGCCGTATAAAAGGGCACTCAAACAAAGTATTTAAATTGCATATACTTAATATCAAGTTTTACTTTCAGAAGAGTGATATTTAAATTGCATATACTTGATGTTGCATAATTTCAAGTCTTAATTTCAGAGATTTGATATTCAAGATTAAACTTTCAAAAGTCAGAGATTAATTAAATAAGACTTTGGCCGTGAAAGAATTTTTTTAATTTTAATTTTGGATTTCAGTCGTACGTTACAGATTCTTGGAATATTACATAGACATAGCTGGGTGAGACTAGTGGAAAATTTTCAATCCTAATTTAATTAACTTTCTTGACTTCAGAAAGAGAAAAATGTATATAAAGCACACTGCCATAGAACAAGGTTCGCACATATTCCCACTGCATCATGTTAATTCTTTTATAATCTTTTTTACCGTAATTATCTGCGTTGTAACTTGCAAATCTGAGATCTGCCGAGATGTAGAACCGCATGTCAGCGATCGAGCGATTCCTTGTCTCAACCGGCTCAGGAATTCAGGGTTAGATAGTTTCTCGTCTAACTATATTACAAAAAATGCGATTTTAAATATATATGTGGAAGTTTAAAAAGAAAATTTTCGAAGCTGGAAATTGTAAAATTATTTTCAATAGTGAAAGAACAATTCTTTTTTTGTTAAGTTCACTTTAAATTTTTTTCCTTCTTAAAAATAGAATCGCCTAGTAATAATATTAGGAGTAATTGCAACTGGATTAAATAGAGGCATCAAAAATGTGCAGTTTAAACATGTTGGACATTTTATTTTTTTATTTTTTGAAGAAATCATTAGATTTCATTACAATATATAACATATGAAGGGGCGGAAAAATTCTTTTTTCCATTCCCATTCCGTTTTGTGAAGTTTGTTCTTACCGTTTTCCTCAAGCCATTTAGCCACGATTCCCTCCTCATGTGTGAGAAAGTTGGAATTTTAAGGCAGTAGGATTATAATGAAAAATAGGATTGTTTTAAGAGCTTTCTTAATGTCAGATAGTAACATAAGTCAGCGAAAATAGGAAATATTTTAACTTTGTGACTATCACTGATAAATAATCAGATAAGTCGGCAGAAATAGGAAATATATTTATGTTTAGGAGTTAAAAAAGTAAACAGTACTGACAGGTAGTAACATAAGTCAGCAAAACTAGGAAATATTTTAATTTTATGACTATCATTGACAAGTAATCAAATAAGTCAGAGAAAAAATAGGAAATATTTTTAGATTTAGGAGTTAAAAAAGTAAACAATACTGACAGATAGTAACATAAGTCAGCAAAGATAGGAAATATTTTTATGTTTAGGAGTTAAAAAAGTAAGCAATACTGACAGGTAGTAACATAAGTCAGCAAAAATAGTAAATATTTTTATGTTTAGGAGTTAAAAAGTAAGCAATACTGACAGATAGTAACATAAGTCAGCAAAAATAGGAAATATTTTTATTTTAAGGATTTAAAAAGGTGTTTTTATTTTAAGGATGTAAGGTTTAAAGGTATAGGATAGGAGTAGGATTAATATTGGAATCTAGGATAGGAGTAGGATGAGTTAGGGGATTTAGGAAAAGGAGTTGGAAGATAGATGAGGTGTAGACGAAAAGACGAAAACTGAGAGACCACCCAGGGCTTTGCTGGAAAGGTGGGGGTACCCATGTGAGGGGGGGGGGAGACTGTGCAGGGTTTCGATTTTGTGTTGTGGACATTCAGAAAAAAATTAGCGTTTTGCTTGCCTCTGATATGACATGGGCGGCTGCGAGCGTTTCGCGGCACCTGAGGGCTTCAGATCCCCGAACCCACAGGACTCAACCCATTGGGAGAACCTAGTGCCGCATGGGATGGAGGGGCCCAGGGTTGGTTTAGGTCTGTCCATTACCGCCTTCGGCCCCCCCCTCCCTGCCCATGACACCGGACTCCCTCACAACTAAATCCCCCCCAGCACAGTCCCCAACACCCTCACCCTGTACCTCACTGGGGCTGTCCAGCCTATCGAGCATCCCCTGGAAGTCCAGCATGTAGTCGTCAATTCCAGCCTCCTCCACCTCCATAGGAATAGGTTTGTTGGACATTTCTCTGAAAAATATAATCATAGAGAAAATATGTTTTATGTTTTTAATGTGAATGATTATATCGGGACCTTTTACAAACCATTTAAAATGGTTTGCGTCATGTATTACTTGCGTATTACGCATGCTTCTGAGATTACTTCTTAGAGTATTTCTCGAGAATTTGATTATAGTTCGTCCTCGGTAGGACGCCACGGTTTGTTCCAGATTATCCGGATACAAGAAGAGGCCAACTTTTTTGTAGTTGGTTATATTAAAGTGAATAATATCAAAGTTTGTTGTCCTTGACTCATAGCAAGGGCTGTTACTTAACTTTAAGTTCGTCAGAATCATCCTTGAGGGAAGGATTCCGTATGAATATTATTGTGGACACTATTGAATTCTTTACTCTAATATGAAATTGACTTAGCTTGCGCTGTGAAATGATTGTAATTCCTTTTTTTAATTCGGAACAAAATGGCTGAATCAGCATGAATTGTAAAAGGTAGGTATGGTTTGGTAAGACTAGCGCTGCGGAGGATGCAATTATTATACACCGCCGCGGGGTACCAGTTATAATGATACTATACATTGCAAGGAAATAACGATTAAGAATCATGTTCGTATTCTTTAAAAAAGGGTTTATTAAGTTTTTCAGTGTGATGACAAATAAATTGCTTTAACTTAGAATTGTTGTAAAATCGTCCAGAATTTCTTGTAGAAAATATATAATACATAACTATGAAACAGATTATGTTAGTATTTTCGATATTGAAGATTAAAGGATTAGTACAACCAAGAAATATTACACTTTTAAGTTCTTCATGTGATAAAGTTCCGTTCGATATTATGGTGTTGAGATCAAGAAGGATCTCGCTTATTTTGGGACAGTCCCAGAAGACATGAGAGATTGTTTCTCTCGGCGCAGGCCTAAGGTTTCCAAACTCGCACCGTTGACAGGTAGGTTCATGATTCTGGACGAAGTGTGCGATCATTGCATTATGATATAATGTCTGTGCTGTAAAATTAAAAATAAAACTTCTCAGATTATTTCTTAACTTTGAGAATCCGAAAATCTTATAAAAGTTGCAATCTCTCTCGGGATCTACATTGTAGTTGTGTGCTAGTGCAACGCGCTTTCTAAGTCCACTCCCGGGAACAACTTCGTCCTTACTATTGTCGAAGATTCTACGTATCTTAACACTACCCTTAACTATTTTTCTAAAAAAGGTGAGGATAGGGGTACACACTTTATCTTTATTCATAGCTAGTTTTCTCATAACATTCCTATGTACAGATCTTAAGTAAAATGTTTCTAAAGGATTAGGACGTAAACTCTAAAGGATTAGGACGTAAACTCAGATTACTGTAGTATACTCTAATATACTCTAGGATTCTATAGGATTCTCAATGATATTCTAGGATTCTCTAGGATACTCTAGGATACTCTAAGAAATCCAACATACTCTAGAATACTGATTTTTACTTTAGTATACTCTAAGATACTGCATTTTACGATACAAGTAAGGATAGTTTTGGATACTCTACAACACTCTCATCCTCTTTAGGATCACAAATTTAGGTTACTACTCTAGACACTCTTAACATTGATTTCCTTTCAGTTTTTTGATACCGTAAATGATGGAATTATTTCAAGAGAGGAGTGGATTATAGGACTCAATATATTCTTAAAAGGTTAGATACTAGCAAGAGGTAAAAGCTTTATTATTAAGTCATTAAATCCGTTATTAAGTGAGAAAGGTCTGCTTACACTGCACACTTGCTGTGCATCATCCTCATTGTAGTAAGTAAATTCATAATTTGAGTTTAAAAGTCGACTTCCTATTCCAGTTTTCAAGTTCTCACTGTAGTTTATTTTTGTTAAAGTTTTTTTTACAATATTTTGTTTCAGGAAAAGAAGATGAACAAATCCATTATTGTTTCACAATATATGATCTTAATGGAGACGGTTATATCAGCAGGTAACTACGCTATGTATTCTTAAATACTAATATGATCGTTATTTATGATTGAATATAAATTACTTTAAGATTTACACACGGAGTTCTTGTAGAAATATTATAAAAACCAAAAAATTGTATAAAGGGGGATGATAATGTTTAAAGGGAAGAAATGTTGACAATGTTGAAAACCTGTCTGGTGAGACAAGGTTTAGAGGAGGACGGAGACGAGGGAGTTAAGGTAAGAATCCTTCTCTTAATTCTCAAGGTTCTTCAGGTTCTTCAGGTTCTTTAGGGTCTCCCGGTTCTCATGGTTTTCATGGTTCTCCAGGTTCTCCAAGTTCTCCAGTTTCTTTAGTGTCTCCTGGTTCTCCCGGTTCTCATGGTTTTCATGGTTCTCCAGGTTCTCCAGGTTCTTAAAGGGTCTCCAGGTTCTTCAGGATCTCCGGATTCTCCAGTTTCTCATGGTTCTCCAGGTTTTTCAGCCTCTCCAGGTTCTCCAGGTTTACGGTTTTCCAGGTTTTCCAGGTTCTCCATGTTCTTCAGGTTCTATAGGTTGTCAAGGTTGTCAAGGTTGTTAAGGGGTTGTCCAAGTTGTCCAGGTTTTCCAGGTTCTCCAATTTCTACAGGTTCTTCAGGTTGTCAAGGTTGTCCAGTTTCTCCAGAGATTCTCCAGGTTATAGTCCGTGTACTCAAGTTATAGTCGTGGACTCCAGTTATAGCCCGTGTACTCAAGTTATAGTCCGTGTACTCAAGTTATAGTCCGTGTACTCAAGTTATAGTCCGTGTACTCAAGTTATAGTCCGTGTACTCAAGTTATAGTCTGTGTACTCAAGTTATAGTCCGAGGACTTATGATTTAAAAAAATGTAATTAGTAAAATATATATTTTGTGAAGGATTTGATAGATATGACCTTGAAGAAGATGGACCTGGATAAGGATGGAAAAGTTTCATTTTCTGATTTTGAATCAACTGTTCGGGTGAGCTTATATAAATCATCTAAATTTAAAAGAAAAAATCCTTTTTTATGCGAATTTTTAAATAAACATTTTCTCATTCTTTCTCAAGAGGAGAAATATTGATTAGTCAAAATTTTGGAGATTAAAGCTATGAAAGATTGATACAGATCCTTCATTGATCAAAATCTCGGGAATTGGACCAATGAGATAAGGATTTATCTTTACCTGCAGAGTAACTGAGTTTACCTAAGCTAGTCCCTTCAAAAGTTTTCAGTTCTGAGTATTTATTGATTACAAAACCTATATTAATCAACCCTGACTTTCTAATCGCCTTATCTTTTCAACCAAATGTCCAAAACCTTATTTAATACTTTGAATTTTGTTAGATAAAATAATCAACATATTTAATGTCAAAGGTCTATTTCATTCGGGTTTTTCTAGAATGAATGGTTAATATCTAGAATGCATGGTTAATATCTAGAATAAATGGTTAATATCTAGAATGAATGGTTAATATCTAGAATTAATGGTTAATATCTAGAATGAATGGTTCGTATCTAGAATGAATGGTTAATATCTAGAATGAATGGTTAATATCTAGAAAGGATGGTTAATATCTAGAATGAATGGTTAATATCTAGAATGAATGGTTAATATCTAGAATGCATGGTTAATATCTAGAATAAATGGTTGATATCTAGAAAGAATGGTTAATATCTAGAATGAATGGTTAATATCTAGAATGAGTGGTTAATATCTAGAATTAATGGTTAATATCTAGAATGAATGGTTCGTATCTAGAATGAATGGTTAATATCTAGAATGAATAGTTAATATCTAGAATGAATGGTTAATATCTAGAATGAATGGTTAATATCTAGAATGGATGGTTAATATCTAGAATGAATGGTTAATATCTAGAATGAAT